CACACCCATATAATTGAAGATGCAGCATTCAAATATATGTAAAATGGAAAGAACATCTTCAGATGGTGGATATTCAGCTAAGAGGTTAAGGTATTGGTGGAGACATCCACATCTCACATTAAAATACTTGGGTGACAGCAGAAAGAACGGGCCATCAAAGAAGGAGGTACCTTTCTCTGGAGGGAGGAGAGAACTTCCACTTTGACTGTGACGTTGTCTAAATAAGATCAGAGTTGGCAAACTCAAGAGGCTTCGATAGCCTTGGCAGCTCATGACAAGATCCTTGGGTGATAACTGACATCATAAATAAGAATGTCAATTGTTAAATCAACAACAGGAGTCACTGTGTACCTACTCCCCATGTAGGATCTCTGTCCTTAATGTGTTGTACTATGCGAATTAATGGGAAAACTACTACTCAAACAGTACTTTATACTTTGTGTGTCTGTGTGGGTGCAGTCTGTTGAAATTTTAGTATATACTAAATTGATCTTCTGTATATAAAGTTATTGAAAATGAATCTTGACCAGTGCCGTGGCTTTCTTGGCTAATCCTCTGCCTGCGGCGCTGGCACCCAGGGTTCTAGTCCCGGTTGGGGCACTGGGTACTAGTCTGGGTTGCTCCTCTTCCAGTCCAGCTCTCTGCTGTGGCCCGAGAGGGCAGTGGAGGATGACCCAAGTGCTTGGGCCCCTGCACCCGCATGGGAGACTGGGAAGAAGCACCTGGCTCCTGGATCCTGGCTTCGGATCGGTGCAGCGCCAACTGTAGTGGCCATTAGGGGAGTGAACCAACAGAAGGAAGACCTTTCTCTCTGTCTCTCTCTCACTGTCTATAACTCTCTCTCTGTGTCTCTCTTTCTCTCACTGTCTAACTCTGCCTGGCAAAAAAGAAAAAAAAAGAAAAAAAATGAATCTTGTTGAAGAATGGGATGGGAGAGGGAGTGGGAAATGGGTTGGTTGGGGGTGGGAGGGGGATTTTGGGGGGGAAAAGCCTCTATAATCCAAAAGTTGTACTTTGGAAATTTATATTTATTAAATGAAAGTTGAAAAAAAATACTTGGGTGATATATTTGCCTTCTGCTCCTGATTCTGGCTTCCTACTACTGAACACACTGGGAGGCAATTGTGATAATTCAAGAAATTGAGCTCCTGCCCCATATGGGAGATGTGAATTGAGTTCCCACTTCTGACTTTGTCCTGGCCTAGCACTGGCCATCATTGGTATTTAAGGAATAAACCAATAGATAATAGCTCTGCTTTGTCTTTCTGTATCTCAAAGAATTTTTTCCAAAGACATTTTTATGTTTTAAATTATTTAAAAAGAGAGCCGGCACCGCGGCTCACTAGGCTAATCCTCCAACTTGTGGCGCCGGTCGGGGCACCGGATTCTGTCCCAGTTGCCCCTCTTCCAGGCCAGCTCTCTGCTGTGGCCTGGGAAGGCAGTGGAGGATGGCCCAAGTCCTTGGGCCCTGCACCCCATGGGAGACCAGGAGAAGTACCTGGCTCCTGCCATCGGATCAACACAGTGTGCTGGCTGCAGCGCGCCAGCCACAGCGGCCATTGGAGGGTGAACCAACGGCAAAGGAAGACCTTTCTCTCTGTCTCTCTCACTGTCTACTCTGCCTGTCAAAAAAATAAAAATAAAATAAATTATTTAAAAAGAAAATATATATTACTTACAAAGCAGAGCATGTCTTGTGTATAAGGAAGTAGAAAAAATGAAATACGTAAAGAATCATTTGTATTTGTTCTGAATTATGGCATTTTAAGTATTTCTTTTTGGCTTTATGATTTTTGATAATTCCAAAATTTTTCTAGACAATAAATGAAACTCAATTAAAAGGCAATGTGATGTGCTGGGGCCTGTGCTGTGGACTAGCAGGTAAAGCCACCACTTACAATACCAGCATCCCACATGGTTGTCAGTTTGAGTCCTGGCTGCTCTGATTCTGATCCGGCTCCCTGCTAATGTGCCTGGGAAAGCAGTGGCAGATCTTGGCTCCTGGCTTCAGCACTGGCCATTGTAGCCATCTGGGGGAGTGAACCAACAGATAGAGAATCTCTCTTTCTCTATGTATCTCTCCACCTCCCTGGAACAGTGGCTTTCAAAGTAAATAAATATTTTTAAAATTGCTTATAAAATTAATAATTACAAATGGCAAATAAGTATTCTAGAGAATATGAATTCTAAATGGATTCAAGTAGGATACAGTCGTCAAAATGCTTGGCAAAAGTTTTTTTTTTTCTTTTGTCAAAAATGTTTATTGTGTTTGGTACCCTTTCCCAAGAAAAAGCCAACTGACAAATATTAATAATGGCACAGAATTTGTCATCCCATCTCACAGTTCCTCAACATATACCATTATGTTTTAAAATAAAATTCAAATGTTTTGGCTGCAAGCATTACTCTATCAAAGTCTACATTTACTAAAACCATCACATTTATTCAACATTGATGATATTTTTAGGGGAAACTATTTGAAATAGAATCTTCTACTCATCTCAGGTTTCAGCAAAGTAGCACCAATTGTAGATTCATTTTCCAAGGTATATTGAGGAATTTCTGTGGCCACATACTCTTCTGTGCAACATACTCTTACATGAGATCCCATTGTCTACTACCATATGTACTTTTAACTTAACACATATTCATTTAACACTAATGCATACCATTGATACAGCTCTAAAAAGAGCAGATCAGCTCACTGCTTTCAAGATCTATGATGATCACATCATAGCAGAAACCACTGACTGTGTCCCTATCACCAATTACCATCATTTCACTTTATATCTAAAAAACAATCTTTCACTATGAAAACAGACATTGCTAAAGTTTTACTTTTGCATAGATCCATGATTCAATTTGAAGAGACAGAATATGCTAACAGCATCCTAATTCATGCAACTTCATGATTTACAAATACACAGTTCTAATTTTGTATAAATGTGTTCCTCTCAAAGTGAGAGTGAAATAATAAGGCTTTAACATAATATATCTAATTCTGTAATTTTGAAGTAATAAAAATTTTCCACAAATCTTAATGTAGGTACTTTCTGAATGTTGATGTTTCTAATCTACATTTGACCAGTATATTACAAAGAAGTAAATCACTAAACATTACTGCATTGTCTAAATTTTCCCCCAGCTTTTCTTTCGAAAACTGTTTGATTAGAAAAATAAAATCCGAAATATTCAAAAAGTCTCATATGACCTTCCATATTTGCATAAGTCTCTCATCCTATACCTAAAAATCATAAACTGTAGGGAGCCTGAGTTTGCTTTATAACACTTCTGACCTTATTAAGTTAAACTAATTCACTGAGAACAATAATTTCTTTCCAAATGAAAGTGCACACATACTTTTTGTATTAATTCCAATTTATAATTGATGACTACAAAAAGCTAAGACCAGGTTGAATGTAAGAGTTAAGATATCCTGAACTCAACTGTCTCAGCATGAAAGATTAAAGGTAGAAAGCAATTGCCTTGGGTTTCATGCTTTTATCTTATCTATTTATCATATAAAATTAGTAGAGTGCTGGGAGGTGAAGGTTAGTAATCATCAACGAGAATTAATTCACAATATGCTTGGGGTGCTAGGGAACATCAAGTTATAAATGAAGCCAAAGTAATAGCAGGAAGCGCATTTGTGAAAGATCAAATGACAAGACGTGACCAGATTCATGCCTTCCCTGGAATAAGTGTTTAATAAATATTGGTTGACATGATAGGAACACTTTCCAATGAGTAAGCCAAACGTAAAGGAACTATACAGGAGTGATAAGTTATTTCTCATCTTTGCATTAGAAAAATTGCAGAATTTTCCAGTCATTTAAGAAAAATGGGAGTAAATTTCTCTTTAATGTAAATTTAAATTTCATTGATTGAATTGGTCATTATTGTGAAAAAATTTAAATGAAATATTATTGATAAAGTAATTTTCACTTAAATAACAAATTAGTATCTTAATGCTAAATACTCTGTCACTCTTACATAATTTGCTAATGCAGATATACAAGTACAACAGTTAACAAAATCTGCCTTTTATCTCTCCTGATTACAAAGGAATAAAGAAATTAACTATGTTGGTCTCCTCTTGGTGCTGTAGCAATTTACCATAAACTTAACGGCTTCAATCAAGACAAATTTTTTCTCTTACAATCCTGAGCGTCAAAGGTTTGGAGTAAACCTCATGGGAGTAATAGGAAGATGTAGGCATAGCATATTCCTTTTGGAGGCAGAGGCTTTTCATGAACTGTTCCTTCCTATTTCTGTGATTGCAACACCTTTTTTCTATTGACCCTGCCTCTTTGCTATAAGGACTGAGGCAAAACATTAAGGCGCACCTGGGTAATAAGAGTAATAGTTCAAGCTCAAGTTATTTAACTTAATCACACCTGCAAAGTCTGCTTTGCCATATTAGATAATACCCACAAGTTCAAGGAATAAGGAATTGAATAATGTTGTGGAAAAATTCAGTCTTCCACATCCTATATTGTAGTAGATGCTCTCTTAGTCACTAGATTGTCTTGTAAAGGGAAGCATCAATAGCTAAAATAGAATAATTATTAAATATGATGCTCTTAGCAATAAAGGGTTTTACAGATGGATCTCTGAAAGTCAAGACGCTAGGTCACCAGTTAAATTTTTTCTCTGGATACTTCCTCACTATATTCTCTACTGTTTGTAAACGTTCCAAAGAGAATATTCCTTGATGTTGAATTAAAGTAATTGGAGTTACAAAAGGCCTTTAAAGGCTTTGAAATGTTTGTTTTATTCTTTATTTTTAATTACAGATGTACTCCTGAACTAATAGTTACATTTAACTCCATCAATTAAGTGGGGAAAAATGAAATTACCCTTAATTTCATTTGTAATTTAAACTGTCAAATACAAGTCTAATTTTTGAAAAATCCAGAAATTAAATTCTGAAATAAATAATGTCTCATAGTTTAGGTGTCAGGATAGGAAATTAGATAGCAAGAGAGAAAGAGGCTTACCTTGAATAATAAATCCTTCTTCCCATAGCGAAGCTCCTTTAGTTGAGCTTGGATTTTTTTTGACTGTAAGAGCAGAAACATGATTAGCACGTTAATTTATTTATATTTTCAAACTGAAAATTAACATTTTTTCATATGACAAGAAAAAATTCTGCAGCCAAGCAGCCCGGACTCCAACTAACTTGGAAAGGAAACAGAACTTAATCTTCACTTTGGGAGTCAGACATCTAGATATCCTAGGAAGAAAATAAAATAAAAAGCCTATGCCAAAAATTCAAGTAGTTAAAATGTTGGTATCTAAAGAAAGCTGCTATATTTTCCCACACTCCACACCCAACACCCAAACATATGGAATTTTTGTCAACAATCTATTTTTAGATGCTGGATACATATACATGTATTTAAGAATATATGTTATATGTAATATATATTTATAGAGAGACATGTACATCTAAATTTTCATTAAATTCTTGATTATGTGTTTGAGGTTAAATGTGAGTAAATTTAAAATGATAACAAAGTTTAAATTCTCCATTTGTCCAAGAGGGAGGCAATAAGTCAACACGGCAGGAAATTGATGAAAACTACTAGAATGCGTAGATGCTGAGGCGAATGCAATTTACATTTTTGAGAATTTACAAGGGATATGGCAGGTAGAAAACCACTTAAGTCTTTCAGATATTTGGGGAAGATTTGAATCCTGATAAGCAGTAGTTGATTATCATGTATTCCAAAGTTTCAGGGATGGGTTAGATTTTCAATATTCTAACTTAGTTGGGATTCAATATTCAAGGTTCTACCTACGTTAATTGCATTTGCACACCTTAAATTGTTGGTCCTGATTCTTTACTCCGAAAAAAAAATGAAACAAGATAAATTATCATAGTCACATGAAGCAAAAATGATAGTAAAAATAATATTTGAGTGAAAGTGTAATATGGTACAATATGAGATATAGTTTAGCAGTTTCTTATGAGGTTAATCATACCCATGGGAAATTATACCATAGATTAAAATGTTTACAGTATATTTATTCATAACTAAATTCTAGGAACAACTCACTTGTCTATTTGCTGTTGAATAGATAAAGAAATTGCCATACATCCATGAAAAGGAATATGAGAATACTTTGGAGCAATTTGATGGTAGGTAATAAAGTATTGACAATGTAATAATGTGAATGGATTGCAAAAGTATTTTATTAGGTGAAAGAATTACTAGAAGATATGCATAATTGTGTTTATCTGATTGTCTATTAAAGGCAAATGATTAGGGACAAAAATCAGTTTAGTAGTTGATGTGCTCCAAGGCTGGGGATGAAGACTGGAGTTCAAAACAGCCCCAAAGTCTATTTTGGGTCAAGTAAATGTTCTGTATCATACATATGTTGGTCAAATCCATCAAATAATTTTACACATAAAAGAAGATGAATTATATTGTATGTAAGTAATATCATAATAGTATTCAATTTGAAGTAAATGGGTGTAATAGATAATATACCCAAAATCCTATGTAGCTATTGTTCCCACTAAACTGTGTTAATATGAAAGTCTTCTTTGAGGAAGTCCATCCAGATTCTTATCCTATTATAATTCTCTGTGTATACTTTAGCTGAAGCAAGCATATTGGAATTCAGTTGCCTGTTATATTCATTATGAAGCCATAATTCTTGAATCACCTCCTGATGCTATATGCATCATTGATTAGAGTTGAAAGTTGACAGTGTAGTAAATGGTACACCATTGCAAGCTGCTCATATTGTAGACAAACTTTTTTTTAATAGACATCTCTGTTGTGATTCTGCTGTATTTCATGATCTATTGATTAAGGAATTTAATAACAGAAAATAAAAAGACAACCAAAATGAAATGGGAAAGCAACAAGAAAAGAATGAGAGAGAGAAGGGAAAGGCATAGAGAGAAGCATACAGAAAAATAAAGGAAAGGAGGAAGGAGAGAAAATGAAGAAAGAAGGGAGGAGAGGAAGGGATGGAGAGAGAGAGAAAAGGATGAAGGAAGGAAGGAATAAGGAGGGAGATTTAGGAGGGGAGAGAGAGGAAGGAGAAAACATAAGTGCAAGAGTTTGACATGTTCCGTAATATGAAATTGAACTGATTGCATAAGGAGCAGTAGGAATTGGGTAATGTCTTACACAGTAGTTAATATTGTCTCATTTCCATAGACATCCTCTTTTCCTTGCTATGAACAGTAAATATGAATGTGAAATGTATGATTCCTAAGAATGTAAAAAAATTCAACATGGTGTGTATTGGTTTGTTAATGGTTCTTAAGAATGAAAATTCACACTTGAGCACTCAGCAGTTTGAATTTATACTTGTACTTCAGAATTATTTTTAATACTCCAACCATCAGCACAGTTTCCCAAGTCACTCAAAATAATGCTATTTTAAACACTACATCTCTGTATTATTATATTAATTTTCTAAGATAACTGGTTGAAGGGAATATCATTTTATGCTGCTGATTTCAGTAAAGGATAATTTCTGTTGATTTTTTTCACAATTTCAAATGCACAATTTGGCATTTTTCTTCCTTCTGTTTTAATGTGCTGTCCTGGACTCACTTATAGCCAGGATAAATAGTCTTTAAGGTAAACAAATTTTCTTTTCTTTTTTTATTTTTCTTTTTTCATTTTTTTCAATCAACAAATTCTGATGAATAGCAGCAGGGAATACATTGCTACTGCATATGGTGTATATAATTTACTGGATTCTACTACTATTGTGCATAGTTAATGCTATATTTTTCAAGGGCTAAAAATCATTTTAACCATATAGATTTACACTGAAATTCACAGAATATAATTTAAACTTTACTTCATGACTTGGAATCATCATTAAAACACTAATCATTGCATTATTCACTCATTCATCAGAGACTGTTCACAACATTCATGAATTTGGTAATCATTTTCAAGTTGCCTGTTTAACTTGTTAGCAACATTTTGAAAAGTTAAAATGATCAAATGAAACAATTGAGATATTACTCTATTAGGAATTTTGGCATTTTCTTTTTCCTACATTGATATTTAAATGCAATTTTAATATTGGTTCCTTTAAGTCATGATATTTTCACATCTATAGTAGAATTAAATTGCAAATGATGATGATAAGAGGATGAGAGTGAACAAGATGAAGAAGGTGGTCATGACAGAGTATTTTCATTAGCCTTATTTATCTCATTTAGGAGACTATCTTTTAGTCTGAGATTTTTTTTCTCCAACAATTTCATGTTCAAACAGCATCACTTTCATGAAATAAAAGTGATGGTGATGATAGATAGCATTCCTAGCTAGTATTTTCCATGGCAAATTGATGCATTGGCATTCCATTAAGTGTCAATGGGATATTAATATTTTATCCTTCTGTGATACTAAAAGCCCAGGGTCAGGGCCGGTGCTGTGGACCAGTGGGTTAAAGCCCTGGGCTGAAGCGAAGTTTGAGACACGGCAGCTCCACTTCTGATCCAGCTCTCTGTTGTGGCCTGGGAAAGCAGTAGAAGATGGGTCAGCTCCTTGGGCCCCTGCACCACGTCAGAGGCCGGGAAGAAGCTCCTGGCTCCTGGCTTCAGATCGGCACAGCTCTGGCCATTACAGCCATCTGGGGAGTGAACCAGTGATGGAAAACCTCTCTCTCTCTCTGTGCCCTCCTCTGTCTGTGTAACTCAGACTTTTAAATAAATAAATAAATCTTTAAAAAATAAAAATTAAAAAATTGAAGTCTAGAGTCCTTGATCTGGAGAAAACAGGCTCCTTTTTAGTTTCTAAATAATAAAAAAAATATTATTTTGTTTTTTGGTAGTGATACCGAATCAAATAATTAAATTTTCCAACATATTGCTTTGAATTTTATTGCAACAGACAAAAACAAATGACTTCCCTATTACCTCATATGTTAAGCTATAAATTTACCCTACAAATTAATAATAATATAGGATAAATTGATAAGTTATAATGAACCTATTACAATATAATTCATCATTATAAAATTCTCATTTATTAAATATTTAGCAATGCATAAATAAGAATTCAGAGATAATCATATTACCCTAAGTGCTGAAATGAAAAGAAATATGTGAACACTTTTTATGATTTTTAAATGACTGTAGTATAAAATTAAAGTCACTTTTTTCCCTAACCATAACATTTTCTCCTAGCAGCCTTATTTCTTTCATCTGTCTGTATGAGCATTGTGAGAACCCTAGGAACATGATGACTTCTTCAGATATCACTGGAGCAAAACTTCATTCCTAGTACGATCATCTTGTAAACAATATTCAGAACCTGTACAAAGAATATTTGTACTATTTCTATAACCTAGCAAATATGAACCATGTCCAAGTCGATTTCTACCCAAATAAAAAAAGAAATGAAATGAAACACTACACAGGATTAGATCTACAAACCATGCTGTCTGATCTTTCATCTCATGGAGCATCAGCCTTTAGTTTCTATATATTGAAAAGTTCTACTCATTTCATACCCAGTACTTTTTGAATGATATTATTGTTTCATATATATACAGTTATATTACATATTAGATTTTTCATTTTTAAGTTTATTATTTTAGTTTCAAAATTTAACAAATTTTAATATTTTGCTACATTTATTTCATATGTACACATTATATATATATATATATTTAGCTATACATGTTGGGGTTTAATTTAAATGTTATGTAGTGACTTTTACTTGTTCATGAAAGAATATTGTCATCTTCTTCAATAAAAGAAATCCCAAGCTTGTATTGGACCCAGGAGCACCAAGTTAACAACATCTGTTAGCCTTTTCTCAAGTTGGCTAGGACTGTGATCTGGTTCAATAAGATACGGAGCATTATTTCCTAATTGGACTCCCAAAAAGCCATGACTTTCTTCACCAGGTCATATTCCTTTACCCTCCTACAGGGAGGTGATAATAACAGTAAAAGGTATGGTGGAACCAGAAGCAATAAAGGTGGGTGCACATAGAGAATAATAGAACTGTGTTAGCAGCTTTTTGATTTACTTCTAGAATACTATGGGGAAAGACATAAATGTTCACCTTGTGAGAATCACTCTTTTTGTACCCAAATCTTCCTTCTCCCTTTTTTGGTGAGCCTCAGATATAAAGCCTCTCTCACTTTTAACATATCTCTCACAAGTTTTTCCTTAAATAAATTTACAAATCTAACCCATATTTGTGTCTGCTTGGAAAACTCAACTAACCCAATTGGTTCCCATCTCCTATCTTTCATATGTATTCCCCTTATGGCACTATCACTACTTTTGCATTATGATTATCAGAAATCACATATCATGAACTATGATTCTACATTAAACACAGGTTTATAAAAAAGATATATTTGCTATAAGAAAATTATTATCTTATTTAAATCTGTGTTAATCAGAAGGACTTATTATTCTACCTAAGCAATACATGAGATAATTTTGTTGCTTCACGGGTAGAATCAATGGCTCCTGCCATCGGATCAGCGCGGTGCGCCGGTCTCAGCGCGCCGGCCGCGGCGGCCATTGGAGGGTGAACCAACGGCAAAGGAAGACCTTTCTCTCTGTCTCTCTCTCTCACTGTCCATTCTGCCTGTCAAAAAATAAAAAAATAAAAAAAAAATAAAAAAAAATAAAATTTGTTTTGTAAAGTTTATGGTGCATCTTGGGATTCTTATTCTAGCAATCACTGTCACTGCAAAACTTATTTAAAAAAAAAACTTAATTTAAAAAAAGAAAAATTATGTGGGCTTCAAGATATTTTTTAATTGGGGAATCTTGATAATACAGCTAAAGAAATCCAGAAAATCATCTTATTAGCATTTAAAATGTACTGCATTTCCTTATTTAAGTTTGCATTTGTTTTAAGGAAAAATATTACTAGATATCTGGGTTTTCAAAATCTGATAATATGGTTTGTAATCATTTGAAACTAGAAGAAAAAATTTACTCACCTCTTCTGCATGAATGCCACACAGCTTGTTTCCTGATAATAGTTTATTTTTCAAGCTTTTATTCTGAGGAAAGAAACAAAGTTTTACTGATAAGAAGTGAAAAAATATTCAAGGAATGTCTTTCACTATTTCAGCATCATATTTCTGTTTAGCTCACAGACTTGTCCTTCTTGATGTAAGATATAATTGATTTGTATAAAGCTAAGTTCAATCTCTAATGTTAAATAATTTTAATTTTATTCAATTAAAATTTTGAAGGAATATCATTAGCCCATGCATTAAAGAAAAATGAAACTGTACTTGGATTTTCATTTAACTGTTCATTATATTTACATAAATGATTTAATAAAATAATTTCAATTTCCAATCACAAATAGATGTCAGTTTCTGAAAGCAACCCTTTAAACTACAAGCATTTATTGCCATTCTCACTCAGATGCTGTACCCCATCCTCCCTGTTGTCATATCCCATGTACTCATTAGAGGTTCAGCATTCCCTGTGAATGCTATGGAGTAGTCTTATGTTTAGGATGCCTGCATATTACACTCAATGGGTCTCTTGATGTTCAAAATCCATTGCTTCCTCCAAACCTCAAAACTGTGCTCTTTCTGCGAGTGTAAGTACAGTCACCTCTGTTAACTCTTTGAAGCTGTCATAATTGACTGAATTTAAAGGACAAAAGTTCACTACTCTGACTTCTTATCTACCTAAGTCTAACTCCTCACAGCTGTATAATTATAACTGCTTAATTACACCCAGTTTTGTATGACATTTTACCCAATAATCAAGAAATAACAATTCCATGTAGTTAGGCAAGCTATAGGATAGCAAATAACTCCGTAAAACCCACTGAACTGAGAGTTTATACTGGCTCTGCAGGAGTAAACAATGAAGCTGTGAAATACATCTCATCTGAATGGCTTTAAAGCAAGCCAGTTTGATGAGTACCATGAATAAATCCAACTGTATTTGATGCATAAGGAATGAGAATATAAACAAATAAATATATCAAATTTGAGAGTTCTCCACTGGCAATTCCCACATAATTCTCTACATCATTATTTCCCATTTGATTTTCCTGTATTACAGGTAGGGGGTACAGTTATTCCAATTTGAAATAATCCTTTTTCTATTTATTCCTCATTTGACATTTATGAAAGCTCAATTAGAATTCCAGTTTCATTAACCATTTTAACCAAAAGGAATTTGTCTTGATTCATTGAGCTAATGAATTTTTGCAAATATTTGTAATCATCACACATAGCACAATAAAAGCGTTTAAATAAAAGTATTTTATACGCTGTCTCTATATTTAAGGGCAAATGTATTATAATAAGGGAATATATGCTAATATGTTCTAAGTTAACAGGGTTATCAAAAAAGTTCTCAATCTGAGACAAGATGAGTAAAGAACACATGATATGATGATTTATATTCTAACACAAACTATCCCCATCAGATTAAATTCATTAGAATTAATAAATAACTATAGAGCCGGCGCCGTGGCTCAATAGGCTAATCCTCCACCTTGCGGCGCCGGCACACCGGGTTCTAGTCCCGGTTGGGGCGCCGGATTCTGTCCCGGTTGCCCCTCTTCCAGGCCAGCTCTCTGCTATGGCCAGGGAGTGCAGTGGAGGATGGCCCAGGTGCTTGGGCCCTGCACCCCATGGGAGACCAGGAAAAGCACCTGGATCCTGGCTCCTGCCATCGGATCAGCGCGGTGCGCCGGCTGCAGCGGCGGCCATTGGAGGGTGAACCAACGGCAAAGGAAGACCTTTCTCTCTCTGTCTCTCTCTCTCACTGTCCACTCTGCCTGTCAAAAATTAAACAAAAAAAAAAATAAATAAATAACTATAAATTAATAATATTAACATTTAAATATTGATGCATGAAGTCAATGCTACCTAAAATTTGTATTGCTATCTAAAGTAATTTTTTCCTTTTTTCTTTGTTAGCTAATTTATTAAGATTTCCAGTACCCAAGAAAAAATTTTAATGCTGAAGTGAATGATGAAGATTAACATATATTAACTTGAATCCCTCAAAAACCACATATTTTATTATTTGCTGAAAAGGAAATAGGGCAGCCCAGGACATTTTTTATAATACCAATAGACTTATATCTCTGTTTTTCAGATTGAACTCCAGAACAGATCATTCCTTTATTACTCAGAGTAGTAAGCTTTCTGTGATTGGGATATATCCTTCATGAAGTGAAAAGCAGTATGGAATTGTGGGTGATCCTGTGAGACTGCCTACCTTGCCCATGCAGGAAGCTGAGCGGGCTTGGCAAGCTATGCCTCCTGGGAGACACTCCCACCTCCCCCTCACAGCCTGGCTGTTGGTAGGCAGCAGGAGCCCCAGGTGCATTTACCCCAACTCCCTCCTTCTATCAATCAGGTAAAGTGCTCTCAAGTGTGGCCTAGGCCCATCTGGAAAGCTATGGTAGCCTACACCACCTTCAAGCTCATTGGAGAAGCATAGCAGCACCAATATTGGCTTCATCCTATAGAATTAGTATTGCCCTGAATTAGTTCTGCCCCCTGCCTGCCTTTTGTGTACATGGTCGTTAATAAAGAAGACATGTTCACCAAAGCCTGTCCCTGGTGCTTCTTGTAGAAGAACACCATCACTCCACTATCCAAGATGGTGCAGGCGTCACAGGATGAGCCCACACAGAATATTCCACGTCATCACTGAAGTCACAATTTTTATGAAAATGTTATACAAAACCATGGCATGTGCGCATGCTCACCAAATGGCTGAAAGAAGGTGCCATTTGGTCCAGAGAAACGGCTATGGCAAATCTTGTGCACGATGTGATCCAAGGATTTTACCAGAGGGAAAAATTCACATTCCCCACTGACTTTCAGTCTGGAGGGAGGGTTGACAAGGGCTGGGCACCCACGTAGGACTGTGAGTTGCCCCGAGCCTCTCAACATATCACAGGCCCTGGGCCTCAAACAACCAAGCATAGTACATACAGGCAGCGAACTCTGGGAATGCCTTTGCCTCCCCATGGATGGGACAGACTAGCAGGGTGGAGTGGATCCTCTGCACCCCTTGACTGTGGGAACTTTGTGTGCTGAGACTGGAATTCTGTGACTGCATGGTCTCTTGGCAATCACTATGTGGTGACATGTTCAGAGCTATCCGATTGCCTGGAGTGGGTCATTTTAGCAGGATCTGTGCTAACACGAGGACTACATAGATTCTTTGTAAAGTTCATGCAGAAAAAAAAAAAAAAAAAAAGAGATAAACCCAAACTTAATAAAATCAGAAATGAAAAAGGAAATGTAACAATGGATATCACAGAAATAAAAATAATGATCAGGAATTACTTCAAAAAGTTATATGCCAACAAATTGGAAAATCCAGGGGAAATGGATAGATTTCTGGACACATACAATCTAACAAATTTGAGTCATGAATACATGGAAAGCCAAAACAGACCAATAAGCAAAATGCAGATTCAATAAGTAATGACTATCCCAAGAGGGAAACTCAAACTGGATCAAGTACCTATACCTATAACCTGATACCATCAAATTATCAGAGAAGAACACTTGTGGAACTTTGCAAGACATTGGCATAGGCAAGGACTTCTTGTAAAAGACCCTTGAACACATTCAATCCTAGCCGAATGAGTCAAATCGCATTACATCAAGCTGAGAAACTTCTGCACTGCAGAAGAAACACTCAGCAAAGTGAAGAGACAACAAGCAGAATGAGAGAAAATATTTGCAAACTATGCAACTTATAAACAATTAATAGCCAGAATCTATAAAGAGTTCTAGAAACTCAACAACAACAAAACAAACAATCCAGTTAGAAGATTTGGCAAAGGACTTGAACAGGTATTTGTCAAAAGAGGAAATTCAAATGGCCAACAGACACATTAAAAATGCTCAGGATAGCTGGCGCCGCGGCTCACTAGGCTAATTCTCCACCTAGCGGCACTGGCACACCGGGTTCTAGTCCCGGTTGGGGCGCCGGATTCTGTCCCGGTTGCCCCTCTTCAGGCCAGCTCTCTGCTGTGGCCCGGGAAGGCAGTGGAGGATGGCCCAAGTGTTTGTGCCCTGCACCCCATGGGATACCAGGAGAAGCACCTGGCTCCTGCCTTCGGATCAGCACAGTGTGCCGGCCGCAGTGCGCCAGCCATGGCGGCCATTGGAGGGTGAACCAACAGCAAAGGAAGACCTTTCTCTCTGTCTCTCTCACTATCCACTCTGCCTGTCAAAAAGAAAAAAAAAAAAATGCTCAGGGTCATTAGTCATCATAGAAATGCAAATTAAAACTACAGTGATGTTAAACCTCATCCCAGGCAAATGACTCTCATCCAGAAATCAACAAACAATAAATGTTGGCAAGCATGGGGAAAAAAATGTAGCCTAATCCACCACTGATAGGAATGTAAACTGGTCTAGCCATTGTGGAACACGGTATGGAGATACCTCAGAAAGTTGAAAATAGTTCTGCCATATGTCTCAGCCACCCCACTCCTAGGAACTTACCCAAGGGAGATGAAATCAGCCTATGAAAGAGGGATCTATACCCATGTTTATTTTTGCTAAATTCGCAACAGCTAAGATATGAAATTATTCCAGATGTTTATCATATGATGACTAAAAAAAGGAATTATTGTATAAATACAGTATGGAATTACTCAGCTGAAAAATAGAATGAAATCCTGTCTTTTGCTATAAAATGAACACAACTGGAAACCATTATACTTAGTGAAATAAGCCAGTCCAAAAAGACAAACACCATATGTTTTCCCTGATCTATTCTATCTAGTAGAGCACCAAACATGTAATATAGGAGTGAAATGGACATTTTGAGATTTGAGAATCCGTTGCAACCCTTGTCTCTACTGTTGAGGAACAGTATTTTATTTCTTCTTACTATTTGTTGAACACTTTACTTAGTGTAGGGTTAATCTTGTGAGTATAAAGTAGACTGAATGTAGATTTTTGTAAAAATTAAGTGAGGGATTAAGAGGAAGGAGGAGGAAGAGTGGGACCATGGGCGATATGGAGGATAGGGCAGTATTATCACTGTG